ACCGTGGACTGTATTTTCATTGGTTATGCACAAAATAGTAGTGCATATAGATTTCTTGTGCACAAGTCTGATATTTTAGATATACACAAGAATACTATCATGGAATCTAGAAGTGCATCTTTCTTTGAAGATGTATTTCCGCGTCGTCCCCAAGACAGGGTTCCAAGTTCCATGAAAGAAATAGAAGATGTTGATGATGACGATCACATAGATGATCACATGGATGATCAAACAGCTGATCAAATAACTGATCAAGTAGATGATCAAGCTGATGAAGTAGATGAGCCAAGAAGGAGTAAAAGGGCTAGAACCACAAAGTCCTTTGGTCTAGACTTCTTGACTTATATGTTAGAGGGAGAACCTCGAACGTTCCATGAAGCTGTGACTTCACCTGAAAGTCCTTTATGGAAAGAAACAATTAAGAGTGAGATTGACTCCATCTTACAGAACCATACTTGGGAGTTAGTTGATCTACTCTCAGGCAGTAAGGCCTTGGGGAGTAAGTGGATCTTTCGAAGAAAGATGAAAGCAGATGGGTCAATTGACAAATATAAAGCTCGGCTAGTTATCAAAGGATACAGACAGCGAGAAGGCCTGGATTACTTTGATACGTATTCACCTGTGACATGGATTACATCTATTCGCATGGTGATTGCAATAGTAGCTTTACGTGGTTTAGAAATACATCAGATGGATGTAAAGACAGCTTTCTTAAATGGAGATTTAGATGAAAAAATCTACATGGAGCAACCCAAGGGGTTTTCAGCTCCAGGACAAAGTAAGAAAGTCTGTAAGCTTGTCAAGTCATTGTATAGTTTGAAGCAAGCTCCCAAACAATGGCATGAGAAGTTTGACAATGCTATGTTGTCAAATGGGTTTCGAATCAATGAGTGTGATAAGTGCGTATATGTTAAAGACACTGACAAAGGTTATGTCATTTTGTGTCTATACGTTGATGACATACTCATTGTTGGTAGCAATGATGAAATGATTAAAGCTACCAAAAGATTGTTAAACTCTAAGTTTGACATGAAGGATATGGGCCTTGCAGATATCATTCTGGGTGTTAAGATCACCAGAACATCTAGTGGTATTGTACTTTCTCAAGCTCATTATGTTAATAAGATACTTGAGAAATTTGAAAAGTCAGATACAAGTATGTTTAGGACACCAGTAGACTTAAGTCTATATTTGACCAAGAATAATGGTGAGAGTGTCTCTCAACTAGAATATTCTCGGGTCATTGGGAGTTTGATGTATCTGATGAGTTGTACAAGGCCAGATATCGCTTACGCTGTTAGTAGGCTGAGTAGATACATGAGTAATCCTAATGCTACTCATTGAAAGGGCATTATGCGGGTGTTGGAGTATATCTATTACACCCTGGATTATGGGCTGCATTATACCAGATACCCAGCGGTACTAGAAGGGTATAGTGACGCAAATTGGATATCTGATATAAAAGATTCCAAATCCACTAGTGGTTATGTGTTTACCCTCGGAGGGGCAGCCGTGTCTTGGAAATCTGCCAAGAAAATGTGTATCTCGAGATCAACGATAGAATCTGAGTTTATTGCTTTAGATAAAGTAACTGAAGAAGCTGAATGGCTTCGCCAGTTTGTTGAGGATATTCCACGTTGGCCGAAACCTGTGCCAACTATCAGTATTCATTGCGATAGCCAATCAGCGATTGGTCGGGCACAGAGTAATATGTATAATGTAAAGTCTAGACATATCCGTCGTAGACATAATTCCATACGACAACTACTCTCAAATGGAGTTGTCTCTCTAGACTATGTCAAGTCTAAGGACAACATTGCGGATCCGCTAACCAAAGGGTTAACTCGAGAGTTAGTAGAAAAGTAGTTGGCGTTAAGGCCTTTAGTAAAGGTTACCGGAACGGAAAATCCAACCTAGTTGACTGGAGATCCCAAGATCTAGGTTCAAAGGGACAACCTAACTTCGTGTAATGGGTGAGTCACTGAAGAGGTAAATCCTCTTGCCCATTCCTTTATACAGTGATGCCCTGTGGGGGTAGAAGGTTAAGCTAATGCTTTTAATGACCTTAGTGATGTGGTATAATGAAATACCGTATCTAGGTCACCTATGTCAGTGCGAAGTGGGGCCGCTTCTTTAAGAATTACCAAGGCCGAATTCTTTAAAAACACTCACAGAACCAGGCTAGTGTTCCAGGGCCATACCGGACACACCAGTGAGAACAAGAACAATGGTTGGACTAACTCCTGTGTGAGGTCTATTGTCTCAGTTTACATAAACGGCAGAACAGTTCAAGACATCACGTTCACTGGTCAGCCAGTAAATCCGATAGGCTTTCACTACGAAAAGTTCAATGCCTACAGGTACCTTTTCTGATGCAGAGTTAATCTATGTGCTCTCTCTCTTTCCGAGTCTTTGTTAATAAACGTTGAGCGTTTGCTGTATTCGGTCAATTTTTATTCATGTAGGGGATTGTTGGAGAAAAATAGTTGAATAAGAAAGGAAATTGCCCTCATAAAATGTGTATATAACGCACACATTTAAGGCTCATCAAGTTTTCCAAAATTGATTGGGCAGTTTTGCTAGGCATTAGTTGCCAGCCTTGATGGCTAGAGGCTCCTCCCCTCTCCCCATGGTGGTATAAGGAAGGCCCTATTCCTTGAAAAAAAAAAAAAAAAAAGAGAAATTTTTCTTGCAATCCATAC